CTTGGCAGAACATTTTTGATAAATTTCTCCTGGAAAATGAGCTCTGTAAAATTGCACAATTACCATACTTTCAAAACCTACTAAATCTCAATATGTCTAAAATTGTTTCGAATCTAAATTAATCTTCACTTATTTTCACCTGGTTGTCTTGTACTTATTAATAGACATTCAACTTTTAAATGTCATTTACATTAGAGTGATAACTGTGATTTCTTGTCTTTGGAATACCTATTATCATTTTACTGCAAGTTTTCCACAATTCTCTCCTGCTACTTTTATACATTCCAAGGATAATTGGATAAAGAGATTATTGAAGATAATGAACTTATGCACTTTTTCTCTCGTGTATATATATATATATATATATATATATGTTTAGTAGCTTTGCTAAGTTTTTTTACAGCTTCGGATTTCGAGAAGTAATTTCGTAATTTCGCTGAACTTCTTGTTTGATATCAAACATTCAGAGAGAGGCATTGCTAAATTTGTCAATTAACGAATCCTTTCCACCAACCTTCCCAAACGAAACGAAAGGTATGCCATTATTAATCTACTAATGGAATCTTCGAAGGCCAGCCTGGCTAATTTTATTAATACCACTTGATATTAAAAAAATATAAAAGATATATTAACATCTATAGTTAGCTTGGGTAATGGTGGAGATTTATCTTCGATTTGTTTTAGTGAACATGGGTCTCGATAATAAATTAAATTAGGAATTCGGATGAAGAAAGCTGCCGCCAAAACATACCTGTCAGGAATACTGGCGTTGTTGTATTACAAAAGATTATTATTTGTCAACTGTAGCACTTGGTGAATTCACATTGATTTAAAACTCATCTGCTTTCACAGTTCGACTAGGCCTTTTAGGAAAAAGCTTGATGTTCATGCTCGAGGGCATATTCCAGAATGTCTGATGGATAATGGCTGTCGCTCAAACTCAGCAGGAATTTGGAAAAATGCCAAGCCCAAACATTATCATCTTTCCACTTTAGTGGAGGTCATTCGCCGCCTACTGCCAAGCCAAATACAGGCAAGGAAGAAACGGGTACTCTTGGGTTGACATACTTACTTTGAGAAATAATCTATTTTAACTCTATAGAATTTCACTATCCTGAATGGCTTTTTCATAGTAAGTGAAATAAAGGATATATTAGACACATGAAAGACACCAAAATGTAAAATGTACTCTTATGTTTTGCTTGCTTGTTTCGTTCAGGTTTATTTAAGGGAACTCAGCATAAATGTACTAATAAAACGTACTGATGGCCACAGTGCGTTATGTGACTTACTCTGCGTAGGTTTGATCTGTCGTATACTTGGCTTTCACGTAGATACGATCTAGATTAGCCAATGCTGTTATCAGGTCAACTGCCGTAGCTGGTCGACCTGACCGGGCATAGCTCGACTCTGCCAGCACAGGGGTGGCCGAGGCACCGGCCTGGTCGTAATAGTATGAAGAGGTACCCACCGAAGATGCCAAGCTTTCCGAATTCCCAGATCCTGTGCCAGTTGTGTCGCCGCCATTGGATCCCGAATGGCCAAGTGGAAGACGTTCTAAATCAGAGGACTGGTCTGCCAGTACGCGGAAGTTGGCTTCGTGAAGTTGAATGTGCAATATTCGGTGGTGCAAACGGTCCGAATTGGGGTGTGCATAGGCCAATCTGATGCCGTAGCCCTGCAGCAGCCAAGAATATTGAGGATGGATAGGATTAAAAGTAACTTATTTTTCGTATATTAGTGGAGCTTCGAGACTGACAGTAAATCACATATATGAGATATATTCACCATATTTCATAGGAGGTGATGAAGGACTAATAGTAGAATAGTCTTAAAATGATATGAATATCCGTTGTATTTCACATGGCCTTGCCCTTCCAAAAGTTGTTCCCATCCATGCACCAGTGGACTGCAGTTTCGATCTCGTCTAGGTCTCATCAACACACCCAGCAGGAGTCGAACCGTGACAGTGCAACATGTGAGTCTGACACGTTAGCTACTCTCAAAACTCTACCAATATACGAAAAATAAGAAATGTAGTCGATTATTGTAGCAAACATACGTTTCCTTATTTTAATCGAAGGTATGAAGACCAAGATGGTGTGGCCTTTTGTGTGGTCGCAGTATCCTTAGCACACGTTTGGTCAGAGGATCGGTTTCACTTGTATCTTTGACGAGTTGTTGAATGGTGCTAAGAATGGTGAGACTCACTGATGATGCCGACTATGATGCCGGAGAAAAGTCTGAAAATGTACCACGTCCATGGTCCTAATCTGGAAATGATGATGCATACAATGGACTCCGTACTAGGTGCGTTCCGCTAAGTCTTCCTACCAATATGACCATGTTGCAAAAACAAGGTCAAACAACCTCTATACGTTTCCTTCATCGAGAATCCCACCAAAAAATGTGATATGGGAAAAGGCTTAGCTTTTATTATTATTCACATCTGCCACGTGACCCAAGAGTACTCGTGACAATGTGGCAGAGTGGTTAACGTGTCAGGCTCACATGCTGTACTTTAAAGGTTCGACTACCGCTGGGGTTGTTGATAAGACCAATACGAGCTCAAACCTGCAGTCCACCCTGGATGAGAACAAATATGGGGAAAGCAGGGCCATGTCAAATTCAATGGAAACGTCAGGTCTACCCATATCATTGTGGAAAAATTTTACTACCAGTTCCTCATCACCTAATACGAAATATGGTGAATGCATCTCATATTAAAATTAGCCTGTTAAGAATGAAATCGGGGATGTTCTCCAGAGTTGTCATTATCTAGATAAGTGCATTTTTTCCTCAAAAAGGTAACAAGTGTAGGTCTGCTGATTATGCAGTCTGAAATAGATCACCATTTGTAATTTATTTATTGCTGAAAAATG